TTACAGTCTTCTACAAGCTTTGCAAGTGGGAAAACATGAAAAATCAACAGTGTATCAAATACTTGTTCTCCCCACTGTATGGCGATGAAACGAAGATTTACAACACGGTGTTGGAAGCTACCGAAGACATGTCCAGCAGAGGCTACGCTGTGCGGGTCGTTAAGTCACCAGAAACGGTCCTGGAACAACTGAAGCAGATGACCTGGAGCATCGGGGAGCGAATTTCTTCTTTGATTTCAGTTTGAGTCTTGTTTGTTCTTGATGCTGACTTTTTTATATGTTCTATATTCAGTGTTTTTAAGAGTGAGCGGGGAGCCCAATAATCTTTGTGATATAATTAAGAAATATAAGTTAGATGAGTAGCAGGTTGATAAAATTGGTGTCAAACAACATTAATGGTTTACATAGACCAGTAAAAAGGTGGAAAGTCTTATCTAAATTTAAGAGAGACAAAGCCCAAATTGTTTTATTGCAGGAAGCACATCTACCGAATACCGAGTATGTTAAATTGAACAGGATGGGTTTTAAACATGTGTTTTATTCTTCCCACAGTTCTGGGAGGCGGAGGGGAGTGGCAATTTTGTTATCTGGAACTCTTAACTATGAACACATATCAGAATACAAAGATAAAGAAGGTCGATATATAATGACAACGGTCAGGATTGATGGTACCATGACTACCCTCCTGAATGCATACATTCCACCAGGCAGTGATTGGTCCCTTTATAAACAGATTCTCAAAATTTGCAACAACTAGTGGTGATTTCAATATCTTATTAAATGCCAAATTTGATTTTTCTAATGGGAAAGGCGATGTACGAAATATTGGTAAGAGGATGAGACACCTCATGGGCGATTTAGGATTAGTTGATGTATGGAGAGAACATCACCCAACTATGAGAATACACCCACATAACGTATATTGTAGGTTAGATTACATTCCCATGTTCAAGAATGATTTGTTTAAAATTAAAACCTATGAAATTGGTCCAAGTACAATTTCTGATCATAATCCAGTTTATGCTGATATTTGTCTGAACAGGAAAAATAGATCTACATTATGGAAGATGAACACAAATATTTTAAATTACCCAAACATTAAAGAGAATTTAAAAAAAGAAATAGAGAATTATTTAGCTCATAATGATAATGAGGAGGTGTCACCAGGAATATTATGGGATGTATTGAAGGCAGTGATTAGAGGGAAAATAATTAGTATATCTTCCTACTTAAAAAGAGAAAACATGCAAAAACGTAAATACCTGGAAGATCAATTGTTAAAACTGCAACATCAACACTCCGTGACTATGAACGACGACGTTAAATCTGATATGGTAAAATTTAAAAAAGAATTAGATGATTGATGTACAGAAAAAAATCATTTTTAACAAGCAGCAGTACTGTGATGTAGGCGGGAAACCACTACAACTTCTTTCATATGAACTCAGAAAGCAGCAAACGGAGAGGACTATACACAAAATAAGAAATTCTTTAAATGGTCAAATAGAAACCAAAGAGGAGAAAATTCAACAATGTTTTCAGATTTATTACAAAAAACTTTATTCCCAAACCCATGTAGATAATAATCAAGATGTCAATACTTTCCTGTCTGAACTAGAGTTACCAACAGTTTTGGAGGAACAAAATAAAACGTTAGTATCCACAATAACCAGAGAAGAAATTCACTCAGAAATTAAAAGACTAAAAGGGGGGAAAATGGCGGGGGGCAGATGGACCTGGCCCAGAATGGTACAAAATAATGAAGGATCATTTGACTCCCACCTTGCAGAAAACATTTAATTGGGTAATGGAGGAAAAAATCGTACCCCCCTCATGGAAAGGAGCAATAATTTCTAAAATTCAGAAAGAAGGAAAAGATAACCGAGATTGTAGTAACTATCGCCCAATCAGTGTTTTAAATATTGACTACAAGTTGTTCACTTCCATCATCTCAAAGAGACTTGAAACAATTTTACCAGGACTAATACATAATCATCAAACAGGCTTTATCAAACACCGCCAAACTCAGGACAACATTAGGAAAGTTTTGCCAGGTTTATAGACAAAAAATAGAGACTTTAGTGTTAAGTTTAGATGCCGAAAAGGTATTTGATTCTGTGAGGTGGTCCTTTTTATATCAGGTACTTGAGAGATTTGGATCTGATAAATCTATGATAAATACTATATCTGGGTTGTATAATAAACCAACAGCCAAAATCAAAATTAATGGAGACCTTACTGAATCATTCATACTCAAGCGAGGTACTCAACAAAGTTGCTGTATGTCGCCACTCCTCTTCGCCTTGTTCATGGAACCATTGACCCAATGGATCAGACAGAGATGGGATATAATTGGAGTAGGGACAGCAGGAGGGGAGCAAAAATTGGCACAATTTGCTGATGACTTGTTACTTGTTATATCTCATTCTACACAGGTTTTCCCCAAAATAATGAAAATCTTATCAGATTTCGGTTTGTACTCATGGTACAGGGTTAATGTGAACAAAACACAGGTACTAACGGTAAATTAAGACCCACCAGCTGAAATTAAAAATTGCTATAAATGGAAATGGGATGCGGATAATGTTAGGTATCTGGGGGTGGTGATCCATCGTGACCCTAATAAAATGTTTGAGGCCAATTATGCCCCCCTGAACGTAGCCATAAAGTCGGATATCCAAAGATGGAATGCCATACCTTTTTTCGACCTACACTCCAGGGTTGAGTCAATTAAATTAAACATCCTTCCCTGAATGTTGTATTCATTTCAATCCCTGCAAGTTCCTATACCCTCAAAACAATTTGTAGAATGGGATAAGTTGCTGTGCAAATACATTTGGAAAGGGAAAAAAAGCCAGAATCAAATACAAAACTTTACAATTAAAAACGAAAAAAGGAGGTTGCCCAGTTGGTACTAATGGACCCAGAGTGTGCCAGGAAAATATCCCCCACCCCATTGCACCACCACCACTAGCCTGAACCATTGATACAATGCAGGATGGATCCAGGCTTTCATGTTGTTGACGCCAAATTCGGACCCTACCATCCGCAGCAGAAATCAAGACTCATCAGACCAGCCCGTCTGGCACCAACAACCATGTCACGTTCAAAGTCACTTAAATCACATTTTTTCCTCATTCTGATGCTTGGTTTGAACTGCAGCAGATCGTCTTGGCCATGTCTACATGTCTAAATGCATTGAGTTGTTGCTATGTGATTGGCCGATTCAACATTTGCGTCAATGAGCAATTGGTCAGGTGTACCTAATAAAGTGGCCAGTGAGTGTAGTATTCTCTCAGAAATATTTATTATTTCTGAGGCTTATTAAAAGTTTTTGTGTACGCAGAATGACAGCAAAGTAAATCGTCTTTTTAAATCATGCAAGTGGTTTTATTGTGCCAGTGACACTTCTACATCCTGAAATTGAAAAATTTTAAATTTAGACTTTTCTTCCAGTTTAAACAGGTTAATATTTTAGTTAAAATGAACAGGTTGTGGGTCAAATATATGGCTGTAAAATAAATTAAATGATTTATCATTGTCTCATCTTTTACATCACAGACTGCTACTTTACTGTGTGTTTACACTTTTTACAACTATATGTTTTTGGTGTCCATGGAGTGTAGATGCACATACCAAATGTTACACCCTTCAGTTCCTGCTCCCGTTTATTTGCAATTTTTTCAGGAAGCTTCATCAACGTATCAAGCAACTGAAAGATAGCAAGTAGAACTACGATGTCAATATTTTCGTTGAAAATAATGACTGCATGCATACATGCTGCATCAACTTACAAGATGTGCTCCTTTGATGGCCAGGGCAGCTCCAAGATCTTCAGCAGTACAGTTTTTTGGAACTTGATGGATCTCCTGGTTTAGAATGGGCCCAACATCAAACCTTACAGAATAATACTTTTGTGTTAGCACCTTTAGTAAATGCGATTACTTTTGACTGCTGACTTCACAGGATGATGACGATACCACATGCTTCTGAAACTTGTTTGCTTCTCTTTTTACAGGATATGATGGAGTACTTTTGATTTATAGCATCCAACATATGTGGGAAGTGGGTTGGAAAAAGCAGTTGTTTTGAGAAAATTGATGTTTAGATTTGTTAGGGTCAACTGCAAAACTTAACATTTAATTTACCCAAGAACTGCAGTTTTTAGCCTGCGACTGCAATTAATAGGGGGAGATGACTAAAAAGGTTTTCCTTTTGTTTACTTGTTGGGACGTATCTGGATGATCGTGACTCCTGTCACAGTGTCACCATGCATGACAGTGTGGAACACAGGTGCTGGACCTCTCCACCTTGGAAGCAGACTGGGGTGAACATTCAAAATCCCACTGAATCAAAATAGCATGCAGAAAAGAAAAAAGAAATTAAGATTTGACAACATGCTTTACAATATCATCTGACAACATGACATAAACATGATATAAAATACTGTTTGCCCCTTCGTCATTTCCTATTCTTTCATATTACATTAAGAATTTGAAGAATTTTGAATTAGTATGAGTTACACCAATATGTAATTTCCCTTTAGGATAATTAATGCAATTAGGAAACTTGTTGGAACTGTGCATCTGTTGAGTTTATCATACAAACTATTTCTCAGTACAATGCTTGTAAGCATGATTGTTAATGGTTTAATGGAGTCGTGTTGTGATGACATGCTGAAGGTGGCATGTCAGAGAGTAGGAGATTCTTAGAGATAGAAGCCAATTTCAAGGCATCAAATTGCATTGTCAAATTTCTATTAAGTTATGTTTAATACACAGTATTTTATAACAACTGAATTTAATGTACTTGATTGTGCTATAAAATGACAATATGTTCTTGAATATACCCTAAAGGCATTAGGCCTTTAGGGTATATTAAGGTACCTACAAGGGCACTTCTTTTTTCTTTCTTTTATTAATGGGTAATGTCAGTACAGTCATACTATGAGGAGTTCCACAGTGTGGCTCTTTCAGGGTAAAAGAAAATTTCTAGACAGGTTCAAACATGGTTAATCATGAATACTCAATACTAATGCTAAATACTGACAAAGGAAACTTGTCAATGAGTCCACAATGGAGTAAACGGCCAAAAGATACAACCACTCCAACATCAAACTGTCCCTCTACATTGTGAGGGGGCCAGCTGTGAAGTGCCAGCTGGTTCTGTTGAGCAAATCTCTTCACAGGCAGATCACCAGGCAATGTAACAACCTCAAGCTTCTCCACGATCCCTTCATTTGAATGCCTGAGAAAAGAGAGAGAACAGAAGTATTTGAACTTTGCATTAGTTGAAATCAATTTCTTTTACTGTATACCAAACAGCTTAAAGAAAACTGAGATATTGCACGTTTTTTTGTAGAGCAAAAGCTGCCATAGAGCAAAAAGATCTGAACATGGGATTAGGCAGGGTATTGCTTCCTAAGATATAAATTACATCTTCATCTGACTGAAGTGGGACCACAGTTCTCAGACATGTTCAGAAAGCATCCATACAAGTAAATAATAATTGCAAGTATTTTTGTTTATCTTGATATAAATCATAGTATATACATGATTTAATATAATCTGTTGTTTTAGACTAAAAAAACACAATGAATTAAAGGTAGTGGATTTAAATCATAGAATCTCTGCAAAAAATGAACTAGGCAGCAGCTTTTTTGGGCGAGCCTTAGAGAGAAACATGCTTTACATGCACTGAAAGTTTAGCTGGCCATCACAGGTCATGTCGGACACATTCTTATGAGCCTAACTTTCTGTATGAAATCGCAGCTGTTGCTGTTTTACTGTTCTGGACTGCTTTAGATTATGAGTTTAATTGAACAAAACCAAATAAAAAGGATACCTCAGTTTTCATTTGTCAAATTCCTAAAGCTCACCCTCAGCTTTTCTCCGTCAGTGACTTAACACATCTCCAAACATGAGAGTGGCCTCATCAGGATGCACCCTACAGAGACAATCACCCAGAATAGACATGTGGAAGAGCAACTCATGTCAGCTTAGTAGTTCTGGTAATGTGACTGTCTTAGCCAAAACCCTAACAATAACCAATAACTCCTAACCAATGACCATAAACCAAAAAAACTGTTTCAATTAAATATGAAATATATGTAGGAAACAAAAAATTAAACTGTCTTCTATACAAGCACTTAGAACTGCCCTGTCATAGACAAAAAGAATTACCCAGTTTTATCCAAAAAGAAAGTTTAAATTTTTTTTGAGTGACTTTCTTTTTTTTAAGTCATGTTAACAGTTTTTTTAGTTTTTAACTGAGTATTTGTATTAAATATAACAAATGAAATGCTTTTTTGAACCAACCAAATGTTTAACTACACAATCTACAGAATAAAAGTTGCTCCTGATTTTTTCATGCACAGCATCCTAAAGCAAACTAATTATACATCCATGCAGTGATTCTTGAGATTATGGACAAAATGGGTTTAATTCTTCAAAAGAAATAAGCAATTATTCATCAAGCTTATGTATTCAAATATGACAAATAATGTTTTGCAAATGTAAATATGCTAAGGTGCGGCTTTTTTTTTTTTTTGAAAATTACTTTTTTAATGGATCTGACCCAGAACTTTTGTCAACACAATCTGACAAAAATAAATATAAAATTATTTTTAATGACCCTATTAGTGATATTTTACTCAGTTTTATAGACAAATGCTTCTTAAGAAACAAACAAAAAAATTAAAACAAAAAACAAAAACAAAAACATCCATCTAGCTGAGTTGGCTGCTTGACAGAGTTGACACAGAACTGAAGGTGGTGAGAAACTAGCGAGAAAAATGAAATACTTGATGCATCCCATTTATGTAAAATACAT